TAACTCATGACTGACATTAAGTTTCTACCGCAAGGTAATATATACATTGCCTTTTTGTTTAAGAAATATTTTTATTTAAAATTATGGTCCAGCATTAACCTACCAGTTGAACCATTAAGGCTTGTCCAGGTCAACAACCATGGTCAGTGCGAGTATAGATGGTTTTAATATTATTCTCCTTATCAGTTACTTTTGGTCAAGTTTCTGTTAATGTGCCAGTATAAAGTACTTGATGATTTACCAGATTCATTCTTTTTTTTCCCCTTTAGGAGGAGTTTTCTATCCTATTGTACCTAAGTCAGTTGCTTTCCGACAAGGAACTTTATCTCAAGTTTTGGGTTTGTCTTTTCAGAATGGTGTCGATTCCATCGCCAGAAGCCTGGAAAAACCAAAAACATTGGATGAAGTTACAGATAAAATAAAACCCTGGCAGTTGACTGAAATAATAGATCCTGCTCACTGTCGCATGGTAACAGTGTCAGAGAGCAGTGATGCTGCTAACAAGGTATGTCAATTACTTTGTAGGAACTTTTACTTTTGGTTGTAAGATTTATGTAATGACTGGTATATTTTGTTTAGGTTGCCCGGCTACTTTATACAAATTCTGGTGTCGGCATCTTGGCACTTGGATCAAATGGTGTCCAGAAGCTGTGGAAGTGGGCCCGCAGTGAGCAAAACCCTAGTGGAAAGGTAACAAAAACAAATTGACAAAATGTATTTCTTCACACGTTTTACTTTCTCCCCTTTTCCCATGCTCCTTTGACTGTTTTGTGAATTAACTTCTGATGCATGCTGTGGTTTGTAGGCCACTGCCAATGTTTCCCCACAGCATTGGCATCCAAACAGTGGTCTTCTTATGACCAATGATGTCTCAGGTGTCGACCTTGAGGAAGCGGTTCCATGCATAGCTCTGTCAAAGAATGATTCTTATGTAATGTCTGCTGCTGGTGGAAAAGTTTCATTATTTAACATGATGACATTTAAGGTATGTCAAAATATGCTTGCTCCAGGGTTCCCCATTTCATTTGGGTAGATTGTTTGGTGTAAGCTTTTTATTTTGTGAATCATATAGGTGATGACAACATTTATGCCGCCACCACCTGCTTCAACCTTCCTGGCATTCCACCCACAAGATAACAACGTTATAGCAATTGGTATGGAGGATTCAACCATCCGCATATTTAACGTTAGGGTTGATGAGGTAAATCAGTTTGTCTGTTTGATGAAGTGTCAAAATAAGTGTTTATGCCTGCTCGTGTTGCCTAAACAACCAAAGGTGATTTTAATTGTTTCCTCACAATAGGTGAAATCAAAACTGAAAGGCCACCAAAAGCACATCACTGGTTTGGCTTTTTCAACGAACCTCAACATATTGGTGTCATCTGGTGCTGATGCTCAAGTAAGCTTCCGTTTCTGTCTTCTTGCTCTATTTGGTGGTTAAAAGATGGAATACGGAGATAAAATCTTTCCTTGTGACCATTGTTCAAAATTTGTGAAATTATTGTTTTTGGCATGATCATTGATCGCGGATGCAAAACATGGCAAAATAGAAAACAATGGAATAGAACGAAGTAGGATTTTGATATGCTGTTGCCTCTTCATCTCTGCTTCTTGACAATTACCCGTCCACTTTCTATTCCAACTGTCAACTATATCCCTTCAGTCTTAACTGCAACATAATTGTGGCCGTCCAATTACATAATTCCCTTCTCTTAAAAGACATAATATAATACATTAGTTTGTCCCCTCTGTAATAGCTCAACTGTTTAGATAAGATGGTTCAACATGGTATCACAATAGACATGGATGTTGGGAATTGTGTGGTTTTCCTCTCATAACATGGCTATATTTTGCAGCTTTATTTCTGGAGCATTGATACGTGGGAGAAGAGAAAATCAGTTCCGATACAATTGCCTGTCGGCAAAGCACCTAATGGTGACACTCGGGTACAATTCCATTCTGACCAAATTCGCTTGCTGGTATCCCATGAGACTCAGTTAGCGATATATGATGCCTCCAAGATGGAGCGAATACGTCAGGTAAAATGCGCAGCTAAATATCTGTCTTTTCAACCAGCTATTGTTGGAGGTATCTTATGGATTCTTTCTATTTCAGTGGATCCCGCAAGATGCCCTTTCTGCACCTATATCATGTGCAGTCTACTCCTGCAACAGTCAGCTAGTATATGCTTCTTTTTGTGATGGTAACATTGGAGTGTTTGATGCCGATTCCCTAAGATTAAGATGCCGCATTGCCCCATCAGCATATTTATCCCTGGCACTAAATGGGTGAGGATGCCATCAACGCCTTCTATAACTTGTTGACTTCATCCTCTCAACCTTTTGCATGCATAGGCGACATGGATAGAAATTGTCAACATTATATCATGGTCATATTCTAGGTGCAGGGATAGCCTAATTGTTTCTCTGAAGTTGGAATTCACCACCCAGATTTGATGTTTTTCTGTCGTTTCTAGAGCCAATTTCCACGTGCATTGGTGTCTGTCTTTTTGACATTGTTTAACACTGAGTTGAACTTTCTCGCTTTACTTTTTGGTGAAGCGTAAAAGAAGTCCATTTTACTTTTGAAGTAAATTATGTTTCCAAACATGTGTTTCCTTTTTCATACAAGTGAAAAAGGTTATAAATTTTGACAGTAAGGAAGGGTTGTTTTCAAATGAGCTCATTTCCAACTTTCACCATTGAAAAGATCATTTATTTTTCAACTTTATTTACTCAAGTAAAACCTGTTAGCCTTAGCCAAACATGAACTATATTTCATAATGTACAGTATGTTATCTGTCCATTGATTTAATCACTCGATGAAGTGGTGTGTAACGGACCTTGTTTAATTCGTTTCTCAGAAGCCAAGCCATTTATCCGCTCGTCATTGCAGCACATCCACAGGAGCCCAACCAATTTGCTGTCGGGTTAATAGATGGTTCTGTTAAAGTGTTGGAACCAACAGAATCGGAAGGTAAGTGGGGGGTACTTCCTCCAGCCGATAACGGTATACTGAACGGTAGGACAGGTTCTTCATCCACTACTAGCAACCATGCCCCTGATCAAGTTCAAAGATGAAGTCTCGTTGGTCCTGTGTATTTTATCAGTGTAGATTTTAGGGTTTATTCAGTCCATTTTGTGTCTACTTTTAAGTTTAGATTCGACATGGCCACAGATTCACATTGTTTGCTGCAACATTTGTTCAATGTGTATCTTTGTTTCCTAATATTAAATTATATATATGCATATATTTCACTTTATATCTTGTCAGTTGTTACAATGCCCCACTTAGGTGGTTTCGATAGAAATAAGATTTTTACTAGATTTTGATAAAAATTGAGGAGATATATGGTTAAAAAATTGTGGATCCCACAAAACGTGCGGTTGAAAATCATTTTAAGAAATGGAGGGCAAACCGGAGTTTATATACAATGTCTCACAATCATCTATATTTGTTCATCGAGAAATTATCCTATGGAAAGGGCAGATTTGTAGACAATGAAGTAACAATCCAACTCGTTTTCGTCCCTCTCCGTTCTTAAAAATTGTTAGTTGAAAAAATTTTGGTATACATAATATATGTACATAGGGGTGTAAACATAGCACATCTCTTGTTATTTTTATGTTTCGTAAATTTAAAGTGGGGAATATCCCGCGTGAAAATAGTTTTAAAGACTTGTCGATTCTATGAATACTCGATAATTTGGAAACAATAATTTGTTGATTCTCAATTTGATATGGAATAATTGGAAAAAAAAATGTTGAAAAACTCAATAGAATTTTTATTCAATTTAACAAAAGCTAAACGAACACTGTTTACTCTCATAACAAAACCATGTTACCAAGATAAATAAAATTGCATCAGACGACCCTAACCTCCTAAATATATAAATATTAAACCCACACTGGATAAAAAAAATAAAAGAATGATCGTGAAATTTGAAGTAATTCAATCCGCAGGTTCAACTTCTGGAAACACTTGACAGAGAGAATTTTTCTTCTTTGTTCTGATTTCTGAAATGTACATCCAAATTGGCCCTACGAAAACTATGGTAAACAAGGAGAACGAGACGAAGGTGAAGATGTATAAGAGTGCGCGCCCTTGGAGGTTGTTAGAACTTCCATGTCGGGTAGATTTTTTGCAAGTATATATGACTAGGTACAATAATACGCCAGGACTTGCAACGTATACAAGGAACAAAAATGCGTACAGACTCATCGATTCAACTAGTAACTTCCATTGTGAAACTTCCCTATTCCTCATTTCTTCATCCATCTCTAAAACTGAGGACTCCAAGTCACACACGTCTGGTTGTGGGTGTGTGTGTGTGACTGATGGAATTTATTATATCGTAATATACTAATTTTAGGTTCAAATGATTGGTTCTTTGTAGAATTCTGCTGATACAAGAATTGTAACCCTAATTATTTTCCTTGCTAGACTGAAATTCTTTTTATCCTTATCAGTCTATTCTTTTTGCAAACACATCTGTTGGCAATAAATTTTTTTTTTTTTTCGCGTGGAATAGAGATTGATGTGTACATATTCAAAAGAGAATAACCGTTTGAGCCCCATTTTTTTCAAGTTTTCATTCTCATTATTTACTTTTTCTGGGCCGCACAGCAAATATTTTCAACCAGTTGTGCCAGAGATTTTTGGGTGAGTGACCGTTGAAAATTGGTTAGACTAATATACCCAATTTGTCATCTATTATTTACGAAAATACCTACTATTATTATCCACACTTTCAAATTTCCTTTACAATTAAAAAAGGGTAGATTCGGGATAAAAAAATTTGTCTACCAAATTCTGAAAAACCGTATGAAGTCAGGCAAATAATCAGTCCAACCCAACTGTTGAAGCAGTCCAAAAATCGAGCAAAATGAGAAAAATATGGGGAAAAAATGGGGCTCAAACGGGGGCGTAATGTACACAAAGTCAAACACAAACCTGTACATTACAACGAACAAGATTTTCAGTCCAGCGTGTCAAATTTGTCATAGGATTTCTTCAGGTAACAAAATTCCATCTGTATCATAATGAAGGGCACCAGAGAGATTCAGTGGTCTGCACTTTTCTCCCATTAGAATTCTCTTCTTGCATAACTCCATTTCACTTCTTTCCTCTTCTTCTTCTTCTCCATCCCGTATTATCAGTTTCTCCGCTACGCGCTTTCTTTCATCAAGATTCAGTGAACTATTTTTCTCACTTGCTCCACTATTGATTTTTTCATCAAGCTTCAATTTCCTAAAAGGGAAACTAATCCTATTTCTGATGAACTTAGAGATTTTTGTGGGCATTTTCACAGGTTTCTTATCATTTTTGTCTTCCAGCCCTGCTGATTCTTTAGCATCTAGAATTTCATCAAATGTAATTTCTTGTTCTGCCACTGAATCTTGAACATTCTTGAAATTTGAATCATCTGCATTGTCAGTTTCCTCTGGTTGATTACTTGATGAAGACATTTCTTGAGCCTTTTTGCTGCCACAAGCATTCAAAATGATAAAACCTATTCTCTCACTAAGAAAATCTCCGTTTTTCGACGCCTTCTCCTGATCAACATTGCTTTCATCAGTGCACTTGTGATTTCTTCTCTGCATGGATTTCATCAGTAATTTGGGAAATTTGACTCTCATTTTTGGTTGAGGTAGACTGATCATGCTAATAGTGGTAGGATCATCATGAGCCTTTTTATGAGCAGAGTTTCCCCTTTCCATTTTAATCTTCTTATTCAAGAAAATTATCGTTGTTTTCTTGCTCCAAATTACTGCATTTGAGAAGTGAAAAAGGAGAGTGGAGGTAGTTGGGATGATTGAGGAAGAAGTGGAGCTTCAAAAATGTCCTATTCTTAGGGAAATTTGTTTAAGCACGTTCATGTTCTTTCCATAAATGCCCTTGATTTAATGTGTGCAAAATGGGGTAAATTAGTAATAAACCGTGGATAATGTAACAGATAAAATCAGTTAGGGTTTAATTTATCTCATGGTATTTATCTAGAAACCCTATTTACAAGGGCTTTTCTTAACATCAAAATTCTTGTCATTGTATGATAGATGCAAATTCATAAGACATACATAAATGTTTTTGAATAGTATTTTTGGAGAATATGAGGTTAAAAATAAAGAATTTTTTTTTTTTTACTTGTAATATTATTTTATTGGAAAGTATGTCGTTGAAAATGAGTTTTGAAAGTGAATTTTGATAAAATGGAGCTCAAACAAGGGCTTAGTGTTACATGCTATTTAATTTGATTTTATTTCATCATAATCACTCAATTTTATACTTAGTGTCACCATGATTACCCAATTTGATTTTATTTTACCATGACTATCCAATTTCATATAGCGTTTCATCATAGTCACCCAATTTCGTATAACGTTTCACCATGATCATCCAACTTCTTTTCACAATTTTCATTAATTTTAAAAAGGATAAATGATAATTTTGCATTTATATATATAAAATAATTTTTTAAAAAATATATATTTTTAATTATAAAAACATTTTTTAAAATAAGTTTTTATTTTATTTTATTAAGGAACTTTTTAAAAAAAAAATAACTTTTTATTTCATTTTATTTTTCTAATTAATGTTTTTAAATTTTTTTTAAAAAGTGTTTATTTTATTTTAAAGCGTTTTTTAAAATAAGTTTTTATTTTATTTTTATTTTTATAAAACTTATTATATATATATAATGCAAAGTTATCGTTTTACCACTTTTATTAGTGAAAAATGGTGAAAATAAGCTAAGTGACTATAATGAAACGTCGTATGAAATTCAGTGGTCATGGTGAAACATTATATAAAATTAGGTGTTTGTGATAACGCTAAGTATAAATTTTGGGGTTAATTTCACAAATGGTCACTCAAGTTACAGCAAAATTTCAAAATGGTCACTGAAGTTCCAAACTTGCATAAACGGTCACTCAACTTTTAGGCACTTTAAAAAATGGTCACTGAGGTAAGTTTTGGACTTTTTTGTTCTAATTGAAACATAAATTAACAAAACACGTCCCCTGCAAAATTGGAAGACCTCAACTTCAAAATTTATCAAAACCACCAAAACGGCCATTGTCTTCCTCTTCAATTCCGGCGATCTACAGCCTCCCAAACCACCGAACATACATATTGGTGGAAAGCCCTTGTCTTCCTCTTCAATTCCATCACAAGAACTCCTCATAACTCCTAGTAATCCGGCAGATACAAGCAGTTAAAGTTCGGTGCCTAAAAAACTTCAAAACGCTGGAATCCTCACGTCCGGCCACCAATCTGATCGGAACACCCCACTGCCATGTTCCCTACCCCTGGACGAGTCTACCTATGCCAAAATTTGAACCAAAATGCATGAGAAAAACCAGAATTAATTCCAGCAGAATTGCTGATTTCGGCGACGTTGTCCTCCAATTGCTGCAATTGTTTTTTTTTTTTTTTGTAATGATTGGCTGCAATTGTTGATTGGGTAGTTTAGTAGATGATTGGAGACCATGGTTAGGTTTGCCATGATGGGGGCAGTCTACCAGTATGTTGGGCTTGGGTTGGGAGTCGTCGGAAATGGAGTTGCCGGCAGTTTTGGAGTTGCCGTAGCTCGTCGGAATTGAAGAGGAAGACAATGGCCGTTTTGGTGGTTTTGATGAATTTTGAAGTTGAGGTCCTCTAATTTTGAAGAGGCCGTGTTTTGTTAATTCAGGTTTCAATTAGAACAAAAAAAGTCCAAAACTTACCTCAGTGACCATTTTTGAAAGTGCCTGAAAGTTGAGTGACCGTTTATGCAATTTTGGAATTTCAATGACCGTTTTGAAATTTTGCTGTAACTTGAGTGACCATTTGTGAAATTAACCCATAAGTTTTGATGGTCATAGTGACACTAAGTATAAAATTGGGTGGTAATTAGTGAATTTAACCCTTAATTTATTATGAAAAAGATTTGAAGATATATTTATGGTGTAGTGTGTGTGAGCATTTTAGATTTGTCTAGTTGTATGGAGATTTCAAAAAATTTCATTCGATCTTAAAATTATTATTTTTTAAATTATACAGAGATACCAAAGATCAAGGGAAAATTGCAGCAAATGTACTAAATCTTTCATTTAGTTGCAAAATTTATTCAAACCTTTCATTTGTGCCATCTGAGATACCAACCTTTAAAAAAATCGCAGTTTCAATCCAAATTGACGATGAGGGGGGTTGCCAACCCCCCGGTACAAATATAATTTCCCTTTCTGTTCATCCAACACTGATGCTATACCCCCATTCTTTCCAAATATTTGTCTTCCGTCTTTCGTTTTCTACTTCAACAAACACCAATCTAGAACTCTCCCGCTCTTTCTTCTCCTCGTCTGCCATGTCTGTCTTAATCTTAATCTTCTTCTTCTCCTCCTCCTCCTCCTTAAAAAGTGTCTTAGAATCCCAGTCTATATAAGTAATAAACCACCCTTTGGGAGTTTCGTTGACTTTACACTTGCCAGTCCTACCAAAATACTTGACAAACTCAGTAAGCGTAGCCCACTGGGTAGAATTCAAGTGAACATGATGCAGTCAGCGATATATTCATTATACACAACAGTGGCGGCTATGCGGTTGAATCGGAAGCTCCTCTTCGTGTGTTCAAGAAAGGTGGTCTCGAACTCCTCGGAATATCTATCGACGATTCGAGTGGAGTTTTGGCCGAAGACTTCCATTTAGCGTTGGTGGGATCGCTCTTACAGTGGCACTTAACCTGTTCTCATCTCGGTACTACTTCTGACACATCTGGCAATATCATCTCAGCTTTTGTAAACCCTTGGCTTTGATTCTGTTGGCAATTGCTTTTGGGGTCAGGAACTCATTTTTCCCCATCGTTGATTCGAGAAGCAAACTAGAAATCGAAAGATGAATTCAACAGATTTATCGAAAGTTGAATTTAAGAAAGTGTGTAATGTCCAAATTGCCATTTTCTATTTGGTAAAAAATTATTAATTTTTTTCATTTTTGGGTTCAACTAACGAATTTGGTAGTCAAATAGACGGAACCCGTCAATCTGGGTTGGAGTTGCGAATTTTTTTAAAGGTTTAGTACCTCAAGTGACACAAATGAAATGTTTGGACAAAGTCTGCAAGTAAAGGGAGGATTTAGTACTTTGGCTACAATTTTCCCAAATATCAATTGAACAAGTGTCAAAGAGTCAAAGACGATATAGAGTAACGTTGCAATTTGGGTACATTTATGCCATGACCCGTATCCATACCCGCAAAATCCGTCATAACCCGCCTCGTACCCTTTCAGTTTGTTTACTTTTTTCTTTTGATAGAACAGTTTGTTTACTTTTGATACTTTTCTTTGTAAAAGAACAATGAATTCTCTCGCTCCTAAATTCCTCAACCTCCTCAGAATCTCTCCATCAATCAGACCTTCTTCACTAGGTAACCTTCTAACACAGTTTTATACATATATTTGTGCACTGAGAGATTGTTTTTGCATATTTGTTTCTTCGAGGATATTCATCGAACAGTTGATGGGCAATGTTGAGCGTTTTATATGCTGAAGTGGGCTTCGTTTGCTTTCTTTTTCTTGTTTTTGTGATGAAATTTTGTAGTGATGGGTGTGGAAGTGAACTCAAAGTTGCTTTTCTCAACCGAGATTGACAATGACAGAGACAAGGATGTGAGCCCTAATGGTGAGGTGGAGGTCGATGATGATTTTCCTCCTGAGAAGCCGGAGTTGCAGCTGCAGAGTGTTGATCCCAGAAAAGGCTGGAATTTTCGCGGTGTCCACAGGGTATTATATTCAATAAGGAAAGACAATAATAGATTTTTTTGGGAGGTTTAATGCCAGTTGACTTGAATATTTTTCTGAACATTAATTTCTTACTCTCGATTCCTCTGTTTATGAGCTTGGTTCATTGTTTGTTGTCATTCTGAATGTGGATATGCATTTGAGATTTTGACTATTTGCCAGGCTATTATATGTGGAAAAGTAGGTCAAGCTCCTGTCCAGAAGATCTTGAGAAATGGCCGAACTGTAACCATATTCACAGTGGGAACTGGTGGAATGTTTGATCAGAGGCTTGTGGGAGAGAAAGACTTGCCAAGACCAGCTCAATGGCATCGTGTTGCAGTGCATAATGAAATGCTTGGGGCTTATGCTGTACAGCAACTTATGAAAAAGTATGTTTCTGTGACTTATTCAATCGAGCTATAGTTTTTATTTATCGTTTCTGTCTAATATATAGATCTCATTTTCAGCTCTTCGGTTTATGTTGAAGGTGATATTGAAACTAGAGTCTACAATGACAGTATCAATGGTGAAATAAAAAGCATACCAGAAATCTGTGTGCGTCGTGATGGTATGTAAACCAAATTTTATTTCACGTGCGGTTTTTATTTCAGATTATAGAACGAGCATTTCTAGTTGCATTAAAGTAAAGCTGATTCACCCGTTGTCCACTGCTGAATGTTTCCTCCTCGAATTTGTTGGGAACAAGACTTAGTTTTTTGTTGTTGTTGTTTCATGCACGCGAAGAAAAGTCATATAGAATTAGTTCTGTAATGTAGAACCTATACAATTTATAACTTCAGTGGTTGATAAATAATCTGTCTACCACCTAGTTTATTGATCAGAGTGATTAACTGCAGTTACTTAATCTAAGTTGACCATTGGACGACCTAATCAATCGTGGTTTGAGTCAACTAGAAATGAAGGGCAACTATTTAGCTGAAAAGATTGCCACTTAATGTTAATATAAGTCAATTCTCCATGAAAAGCTTGGCTGAGTTCCTGTACAGTTTCTCAAATCACAACCTGAGTTTTTTGGAGCAGGTGTCGCCTTAGGTTAATAAATAGGAACACGGTAGGAATTGATTCAATGGATCAGGATGAAATTTTTTCAAAATGTGTATGGCTTCATGCTCCGTTAACGACTTAGTAGCTTGTTGAATTCTACATATATTTTTTTTCTCAAGAAATTATTCTGAGGAGGCAATGCATATAAGTTTGTTTACGGATTTCTGAACTAGGTAACGATTGTTAGCACATAGATTACATGGAATTATCAGTTTAGTACAAATTTATTGATTCTATTTTTTCTACATTTTCTTCTCAAATCAGCCTTTTCATTTGTCACGTTACTATTGCAGGAAGAGTTAGACTTATGAAGGCAGGAGAAAATATGAGTAATATTTCCATTGATGAGCTTAGTAAGTTTTTCTTTATAACCATTCATATGCAATGACAGCTTGCGTTGTCTCCTTGCAATATTCGCTATACTAACTAATATCTGTTGCTCGCAGGGGAGGGATTACTGTAATGGAACTCCAATGGGGTGATATACTCGTATGTTTGGTAAGGTGAATTAAATGGTGGTAAAGAAGTAAAAGAAGCTAAAATTTTGGCCATTTTACCATTCTCAATGGTCTACTAGCGCACACACAACGTGCCCTACGAGTATAACATTCTGCAGAGGCCACACTTCTGCGTGGAACTGTATTTAAGGACGCACATGGATTTCTGCCCTTAGTTTTTATTAGCAGGAACTTAAGTTCTCATCTATTTTGCCTTGGTTAAGTATTGCTGCCCTTATTTTTATCTTCCCCTTATATTGAAAGATCTTTACGTGACCATAAAAAGACTCAAATACAACTATATCCCTAGTTTAAACTTAATCCGATGTCTTCAGCCTCGAAACTTCTTGTATTTAGTGAATCATCTTCTCGACTTTATTTTTCATACCGAATTACTGAATGCTATATTAACATGTTGGCTCTTTTTCAATAAACTAGTAAGACGCACGTGCAATAGTATAGTTGGCTATATGATAGCGTAAATATTAAAAAATATATATATATATTTGTCTTAAATATTAGTTACATTAAACTTAAAACACTTGAAATGATGATAGTTGACAAAAATAATATTAAGAGATTTGATTCAAAGCTTATTTTCTAGACTTTGCATTTGAAGGTCTCTTTGTTCTTTTTTAAAAAAGATAGGGTATAGATGATTAGGTGTTGATGTCCTGTTAAAGAGATAATAAAGTTCAACCTAACCTTCCTTTTTTTAGACTTTGCGTTTGAAGGTCTTTTTGTTCTTTTTAAAAAAAAGACAGGGTATAGATGATCATGTGTTGATGCCCTACTAAAGAGATAATGAAGTTCAACCTAGCCTTCCTATTTCTACCTATTGAGGTAAGGCATTATGATTCTTTCATCTCGTGCTCATAGAATTTTCAATTACATGTATCAGTTGCATCAGTATTTAATTTCTTTACCAAGACCCTATGCAAGACGTATGTAGTCAAGACTAATTAATTAGTGATAATACAGTGCATAATTTAGGACAAATCAAGGGTTTCTATCAGTATTAAAATCACAACACAACGAAAACTGTAATCATAGAGGCAAAAAGAATGACAAACAATTACCTAATTTCATAAATTTCGTCGAATATTTTTTCAATTTGTTCTAATGATACTGTACATTAAATATATTTTAAAAAAATAATAATAATCTACTTCATATAAAATGTTTGTCTACCAGTACTGTATGATGTAGGAGGATTCTTCTGAAAATCATTGAATTCCTTCAATATCCATTTTGACGTCATAAATTTACCATTTTTAACCGTAAAAACTGAAGAAAAATGAAATTGAGATAAATTGAAGTGAGTATGGGAGTTGAGGGTGGGGTAGAAAAGAAAAATTAATGATTATGATTTTACGTTTAATAATTTAAGATAATTTTTATATTTAAACTTAATCAACAATATATTTATTGTTATTATTATCACATTTTAAGTTTTTTAAAAAAAATTTAAATCAATCCAAATGGATATTCATATTGTGAAATATCGAATCAAACGAAAAATTGTATGAAAAGTAAATTTCAAAAAAAGACATTAGAATGGGGTTGAGATTGAAAAAAAACATAAACAATCACGACTTTATGTTTCACAATTAATGTAAAATTATTTTTGATATTTAAAATTAATCGATCATATATTTATTATGGCCGTTCTTCAACATTTTCAATAAATTTTTAATCGCTTAAAACGAATATTTATAGCTTAAAATGCTGAATGAAACGTTAAAAAAAAAAAAAAAAAACTTAGCCGATTCGAGCCGTCAAGTCATTTGGCTCGGCTCGGCTTATGAACAGTAAAAAAGTGACTTATTTATGTAGAACCTCAAAAAAAGGCTTAGCTGATCCAAGCCATCAAGCCATTTGACTCGTCTCGACTTAAGAACAGTAAAAAGTGGCTCTTATTCATGTAGGATAATCTATTAAAATCAAGATTTTTCTTGTAATGCACAGTGAATGATGTCAAGTATACAACATTGGGAACATGTAACTTTAAATATTTACTCCCATTTATGATTTCTTGATAACAAAAATGAGTCGTATTTTTAAACATCTTAAACAATTCAATTTAAATTTGATCTCATATTCACTTGCTTATAAGAAATGAGCATTTTATTACGGGGTTCATACTTTTTTTCGTAGATTTGTGGGCGTAACTTTTACGGGAATAAACCGTAAAGAAAGGAATCAGTCGGGAAACGAGGATATAGATGTCGGCAACAAAAGTAAATCACTATTCATAGTCATCGTTTACCATAGTCATCCTATGTGGCGGGCTGATGGCGTTATTTGAGGCAACTGAATTGGAAATTAAGGGAGTGTTTGACACCCATTTTAACGAGTTGAAAAATTTTGAAATAATGATTGATGGGAGAATGTGTGGTAAAAAAGTGATGAAAAGTTTTAGATTTGTGTATAATATTATTTTATTTGGAGATTGTGTGGTTGGAATGAAAAAAAAAAAAGAATGAGAAAGAGAATTGATGGCTAATACCTCAATTAACAAGCTCCTCTGATATAACTAACTTAAAAAGTTATCTGTGTTGCCAATAAACTTACCATGCCAAGCCCCCACCTTGTGCGTGGGTGGGAGTGAGTTGTGCCCCACCCGGGGGGGGGGAGTTGTTGGAGTTTCATGAGGTCATACACCATCACCATAGGATTACCTTTTAAAAGGGGACAAATGCACATGGAATGACGACTATATGTTTGTCATATCCATTTTTTCCTGCTTTTCCATTACACAAATCAACGATACAACAAAAAATTAATGAAAACAGTATTAAAACAATCTCGCAGCCAATTGGTCCTCTTTCCGTCGCCAAGGATATATAATGACATGACGGATCAGGAAATGCAGGTGAAAAGTAATACGAAAAATAGAAGATAAATCATCTTATCGACTTAATGAGATTATATATAATTGCAAGCCATAACAATCAAAACAAAAAGAATAACGCACCACAGTATCATCGTTTCTTTACTTACATATTCAAGCTGTTAGCAAATCAAATCATCATGCAGTCATGTATTAGCATGTCTGTACTTGGTCAGTTGGTCAAATGGCCGAGCACAAAATGGACGACTGCTCTCTAAAACATCAACCAATACACACGCCTAGGGAAAACCAAGCATGCACGCGGCCACATAAAAATATATCAGTATTTACTAATATTATCAGATTATGCAATTACTGCAGGTCTATTTGCCATTTTCCCTTCCATTGCATCTTTCTTCCTACGACAGCTTGCACAGAGGAAAGGACCTTCCCATGGCTTTGATGCAGGTGAGGTAAATGGGCCCGAGTTTACAGATAAGCCCTCACTAGGGGGCTGATCCACTTGGCAAATAGCACATCTAAAGAGCCCAGAATTCGAGTCCAGAGGGAAATCCTTACCCAGTCTGCAAATAATGCAGTTGGGTTAAAATTGTTAGCAGCATTTAGAGTAGTCATAAGAAGCCATTTTTCAAATTTCCTTTTCTTATCAATCGGAAGCTGTACAATCTACCCAATGGATACAGGTGGACACAAACATCAACCAAGAAGATAGTAAAGACCAAAAACCATCACAGTAATTAATATAACTAACCAGAATAGCAAAGTATGAATGTAGAAATTTTACTTTTTAACTCTTTTCCTAGTAGTTTATAATTTTACTTCCATTTCTACTTCATTATATCATCCTGCGTTTATATCAAACAATAACTCTGCAAAACTAGTAAACAGCTGATAATTAAGAATGTCGACATTATAGTATCTCAATGACTTTTATTTCTCTTGAACCTGATTATGCCACTACCGACTTCCTAAATTCACAGAAGAAAATAAGAATCTCATAGTCTATCCGTGTCAGACTTTGCTTATTCAACTGATCTTATGAATAGAAAGGATAAAAACAAAGATTTTTTATTAGGTTTGATTAAGTTTTGTCTTAATTCTGTACCAGAAAGGAGTGTTACCAACACAGATAGAATCCAAGACATTGAAACTATATCAGCTCGTGTGTATTGCGCGCTGTAGCAAATTCATTGGTCAAATAAGACGAAAAATTTAACACGTCTTGCCTTTTAGTATTCCGTGTTTTTTTGTCTTTTTTGAGCTTATTGAAGCTTATTGACACTAAGAGAGAGCCATGGATGCACCTAACTGCTCATCGCTCCTAGACATGGGCGAGAAAGCCAGAATGCTCAAAGAAATGTTCCACATGTCCAATAGGTCAAAACAAAACCCCCATGGGGAAAGTCAAACTAAAAAGGACGTCCATCAAACTGTTTTATAAGGCATGTTATGGTCTACCCAATAGCAAACGCAAGAAGAAAAGTCTGTAGATAACTATTCGTCTGAAGACAAGTTCAGATTGCTTCTAGAGACATATCTAGAATCGTACAAATATCAATGACATTGAGAAGGGATCAACTGTAGTAATTCAATGTCACAAATGTAACATATAATACATAAAACGCAACAAATCTTACGATATACTTGTGAAAACATAGAGACACAAAAAGGAATTTTATTGAGTTGCTCAAGTTACATCAAGTGTTGCCCTCGTAAGTAACACAAACAAATTCTTTAAAATAAATCATAGTATTTTGGGGAATCTAAACAGCACAAATTAAAGTAGTTGAAAATGGTAAAATAAAATAGCATTAAGTTCCAGCTATCAATGTTTGATTGCAGTCTGAAAATCTTTGCCTTTTCAATCTTTAATATATGTTTCAGCCAACAAAAATTATGAGAGGCCAATATCTGAAATAAAAGAGAGTAAACATACCTCTCTGAAAGCATTGCAGAACCCTCTTCAAACAATTCCTCCACAACTCCAACTGCAGATAGCTTATTAGTTCCTTTAGTAGAATTTTGTGATCGTTTCCCAAATATACGGTAAGTAAATGAATTATGTTTCTTCTTAGGTGTTGGTGGCATGACAAGATGGTCATAAGGAATAATATCTACAACCAAGCAGGTTGTGTCATCCTTCAAACCTCGTGACCTAAGAGCCCCCTGCAATTAAAACAAATGAGAATTAACAAAACCTTCTGAAATTGGAATACCTAGCAGACAAAAATTAGGGTCCAATTAATAAGATCGTGTATATGATGCATACCTTAACAACCAATTTGGCAGCAAGTTCAGAAGGCAAACCTCGGCAACATTGGGCAGCCATATCAGATGATAAAGCATCCCATATACCATCAGAGGCAATTATAAGTCTTCCCCCAGCATTCGAAAGCTAAATACCACAGATAAGGCAAAAGAATATAATATACTCTAACAAAACAATTTTTTATTTTAATAAATTTTTACAAGAATGATTAACGGACCTTCACTTGTTTAACGTGTGGTATTGGGACGATGAACTCCCCAACATCCGTGTCGCCAATTGATCTTGAAAGGCACAATCCACCAGGCCAGCAACGTAATGGACCAACCTACAAACCCCAGCAAAGAATCAGCCATAAGTTGTTAATCATATGATAAACTCTATTTTGTAAGTGGCCATGGTCAGTTAATGTGGAAAAATAATAAAATAAATTAACCTTACCTCATTCCCTCCAAAAACATTAAGCCTCCCTACTTCGCCACCGCTTGCAGTTACACGCTCACGTTCTTCCACATTCTCTTCCAGACGATGGTCAACGGTTAAGAGAGAAACAACACCCCCTTGTGTGTCCAATATGCAACGAGAATCTCCAACAGATGCAACGGTCACAGTCCAACCATCAATCACGACAAACGTAACTGTTGTTCCAGAAGTCTCACCTGTCAGTTACAGCAAATAGCCAAAATAAGAAGAGCAAAGAAAGTTGAAAGGCAATATACTCCTAAAGAAAGAAACTTATTTAACAACGGAAATTTTTATTTACCTCTGCGCTGAAACTCTATATCAGTTTTCACAAACCCTGCAACTAATGCCCGAGGCAAAGCTTGAAGCCACTCTTCCCTACCAACCCCTTGCGGAATCGCACTCAATACATTGTTCAATAAATTCTCCTTGGCAAAAATAGCAGCCGTGATACCATTATGGCCATCAAAAATCTACCAAAAACAACCCAAATCCAGCAATTATATACAAGTATTCATCACTAAGTCAGAGTATGAACCTCGACGAATCAATCATAATTGTTAAATTTACCGCAAAAAGTGAAAACGAGGTTGAAGGATTTCCAGGAACCCTTTGGCAGTCAGGCTTGATCAGGAAATAATCCTCCCCTTTCTTAGCCAGAGCAGCCTGCCCATACTTCACTGTGGGCTTCTCAACCTTAAGGTTCCTCAGCTCACGACCAATTAGAGTCCCGAGTGGAACAGGCGGTTGCTTCTGCTTCATTTCTGATATCTCTGTCTGGCTCATTTCAGTGCTCTTTGTTCCAGCATTTCTAGAATCTTCAATTCCAACCCCTAATCGCCCCCAAAAAGACTTAATTAGTCTAAATTCTTAGTACCTCATTTACATACAACTTACTACACTTGATCTAAATATTTTGAAACCTAATTATTCACACAATCTAAGTTAAGATTAACTATGACTGAAAGGTGGAAGCTCTCTCTTTGGAAAACAAATATAAAAGAAGCAAGCATAAGTTGTTATAAATTAAAAAAAAAAAAAAATCCAGAAATTCCCCAAATTATTTATCTTATCAATAACCTAGATGTGTTTACATAAGATCCAATAATAACTCAATTCTTTCAATCAACAATAACTAACTACATTGAACTACTAAAATTCACATTAAACTCGAAAAAACAATTAACTCCACATATCGTCCAATTCACCAAGAATTGTACGCTCTAGCCAAAATTGGACATAAAATCACATATACATTGACCAGAACCAAAAAAAAGGGGGGGAGTTGAATAAATAGAAATGCATTGAAGGACGAAAAACACAAACTTAGATGCTCACATTGAAGACATTGAGGGGCGTCCAACTGAAGTAGATCGAGAAATTAAGAAAAAAAGATGAAACCCTAGAGAGAGAGGGAGAGAGGGAGCAGAGATGTTCTGCAAAAGAGAGGAAAATCTAAAGAGAGAAAGGAGAGAGAAGCGATAAAAGCGGATTTTCAGGCAAAAGGCTTTCGACTGATTTGTTATGAACTTTTTCGAATTTCATTGTCTAAAACAGAGATTTCTTAGCTGTAATTGACAAAGGGCAATAGCTGAAATGACTACAATGCCCTTGTTTTAGTATATTGTTTTGGATAAATTGCTGCAAAAGTCACCAACCTTTCCATTCTTTTTCACTTTTACCCCAACCAGTTTATTTCAATATTTGATTATCATCCAAATAAATTCCTTCCAATTCTCCATTGGTAAACATCTTTGATCATAAAAATCAAAAATTAAAAAGGATAAATTATTATTTCATTATTCTTAATTAAAATATTTAATTACAAATATAATAAATTCATAAAATAAAAAATCATTATTTCCAAACTCTTTTATCTGCATACTCATTTTCAAAAACATATTCACATAATAAAATATTATGCACGTAAACGCAAAATCTTTTCATACTTTTTAACCACACATTCTCGTAAAAATCATTATTCAAATCTCTATTTCACTCAAATAATAGTTGTCAAACAGGGGCTTATATGCGAACTTAATTCTCGTAAAAATAAGTTTGGAAGGTTTAGCCTGATATTATCGAATTAAATAAATACAAAAGGTAGGAAGAATTTCTCAACCTGGATATTTGATATGAATGAAGAATACAACCTCTTTTGGTGAATTTCTTCAAAATTTTGAATTTGCACCTTAGTTGCCGTAAAATAAAAAATAATTAATGAAGAACCTTGCTTTGATCTTTATGATCCTCTCATGCATGGTGATTTTTCTTGACCTCGGTTGCACTTTATAGTCCTCATTGTGTCTTGAGAAGGCGTGACAATGATAGTGCGATCGAATTTAAGGTCCTATTTGGTAGATATTAAAATTATTTTTAAAAAATTTTAATAAATGCTGATGAAATATGTGGTTGAAAAGTAGAGGGGCTAATGAAATACATGGTTAAAATTAAAATCAAGATTTTAATCTACGCCAAACATGGACTAGATATTGAAATCTAGATCATAAAAAGCGCTCACAACATCTATAGAAAGCTTTGTTGAGGTTAACCACGTGAAAATTACATATGTTTTTGCTTCCAACAATGTTACACTGTCATATTCATTGACACAATATTACATGATGTTTCATCATTTGACTGTTTTAAATAAAGTCGGTTTTTCTATCAAATCATTTGCCGCTATTTCGAATTAAGTCGATGCATCCGTTACATTTCTTCTGATAAAGTAGCAAAATCTTTTTGCTTCAACTGTGGTCTGTAGTGTTGGGGCTGCATTCCCCAAACTTTGGATTTGGTGCATTTTGATCCTCAATCTACTATTTTAGTGTATTTTTAGTCCATCAATTTTTAATTTAATCAATTTAAGTCCCTTTCACTTGCAAATGTGTCCAAAATGGTCGTGCATCTTTTAGACTCAAACATGGTCTTTCAAGTTTTGAGAATGTTCAAATTAATCCCTAAAGCTCTTAATTCATCCACTTCTTATCCCAAACTCTCTCAATGTCGAATTTGATCCCAAAACTTGTGGAATCATCTAATAAACGCTTTCAAAACTTTTTGTTAGGTTTTAAAGTTGTTGCCTATCTTTTGACCAAACTATTGTTGTAAAAGAGTTTTTAAAAGTCAAAGTGTCGAGTAGTAAGTTAGAACTCATATTGTTTGAGTATGAAACAAAAGAATAAAAGTCGCCCCATTTTCGTTAGTCTATCGTCCAGCTGATGCTCGAGCTGTAAAAACAGAAGTCGCGTTGCCCGCCTACCACCTGGACTTCGCTCGATCGAGACACCGTTGTTCGCCGTCGCTGAACTGTTGCTCGAGTGACAGCGTATTTCGATGAAACCTAATTCGCGTTTTTCAAAGTTTATATCCAGCCCATACTACCCAAAACATCTTCACTATATATATGGACGCCACCATTCGAAAATATTGGTTGAATATCGAGAGAAACAAGTGCTTACATCCTCCATATTACTCCATATCATTCCTAGTGTTCAACCGTCATATTGATTTTTTCATTGCATTGAAAAACATCATCCTTACATAAACCATACACTAAACCACTTACTTCCACACATTTGTCAGTGTTCTGAAGATCAAAGAAGATGACCAGAGTTTTTGGTTGTTAGAGAACGAGGAGTTCTATTAATCCATAAGAGATAGACAAATTCAGAACGCTATGAGTCGGTGCAAGAGCACGCAATTCAGGAGGATTTTGGTGATTACAGCCAGGAGGTAAAAAGTACTAGAGTTGGTCGAGTTTGAAAATAATGTAAGTCGATTCGTTTATGGTGGATTGTTACTAGCTTGGGCTCAGAGTTTTTACTAGTTACGAGTTTTCTCCGTCATCATATTTTGCATTATTTATAGCTTTCTATATAACTGCGACATTCAAACCACATGAAAATTGAACTGGTTGACTAACCATCTTGAAACAATTAAAAGTGACTTGTTGCTTATTAATTGTTAATTTTAATTTCGTATAAACACATATTCACCCCCTTCTAGGTGTTGGGTCGAACCTCGTTATTTCACTTTCCAATCAAGTTCCCCCAACTTTTTTGTTGTCTCTTCAATTCCATCATTTAAGCTTCGATTAATTTTCAAATTTCCTTCTTTATGCTCAATTCACCCGAAGTCGAGATTTTTTCTTAAAAAATTAGTATGTACACTACATTAAGTGGAAATCTATCAAATTAATCAAAAAAACAAGTTTAAAACTCTAGGTAAGTATGCATAATAATGTATCAAAAATTGGGAACACAGATGTTGAAAAAAAAATTGTTGGGAAGAAAATAGAAAATAATGGAAATCCCGAGGACATTTTCTTCAATTTACTCAAGGGCGAATCCAGAATGGATCCAAGACCGGACTAATAAAATTTCAAACAGGACTAAATAAAAAATAAAAAAAAATACACACAAAATTATTGTTTTACATTAAAAAAAATACACCTGAAAAACTAAATGGGCCCGGTCCCCCTACATCCGCCCATGAATATACCTATTATTTTTTATATTTCTTTTTAAACTGTGTTACGACTTATTTCCACAAAGTTGCCTTCTCATCCTCCTTGGCTGATTTCGTGACTACAGCTCGACCGTACATTTGACTAACTCTATTTCACTCGTGTTTCGGAATGCACGCGGTTGGCGTAACCACCTCGTTCCAATAATCGATCAGTTTTATTTTTAGTGTTCTTATCTTTTGCGATAAATGATAATACTTGATTTTCGAATGAAACTCAACGCATCTTAAAAATTTAAAACTTATGACTGTCAAAATTCACAACATAGTTGAGAGTTCAGACGAGTATGACTCGATTTACATGACTTTTGCTTCATGTAGAAGTGCTTTTGAATGAAACTATCTTTGTTCGGGAACTAATTTTTGAAATCACTTAGAGGAAATTACGATAGATTAACTTTCTCTAAAAACTTTTCTAATTACCAAAAACATTTTCATAAAATTAGTCAAACGTCTCCAAAAAATAGTTTTTGAATCTCAAATGCGACAACTATTTTTTTCCCCTTTTAAACATTATAATTAATTATATCAAGTCAGAAGATTAAAGGGCAAACCACATGAAGAATTATATAAAATAATTAACTTACAACCGACCAATACATTTTTTAATTACATTTTTTTGTGTGTTAGGTGGAAAGCTCTTGCATCAACGCGTCTAACCATACAAATTATCAATTTAATTATGATAAATATTGTCACCAATCATGATCCTACATGTGATAGATTTTATCGATCGAGCCTAGGAATTAGTATTTATACAATTAAATATGTTGTATAGTCGAAATAAGTCGAGAATATTTATTTTCAACAACATATAGAATGTTGAATAAATAAACGTGTTACGAGAAAGTCACCCCATTAATTAATGCCAACTCTTGTTCCTATGAAATTGTCTTGATCTTTGTTTTTAAATGTCTAGTGTCATACAGATGAGTAATGATATTTAACATTATTGATGTTAAAATATCAGTTTAGGTGGTACTACTTTAACATTAAGCCCATGTTTGAGCCACATTCTCACTCTTCTACTCATTTTCAACTTTACATTTTTCAATAAAATAATATTTTTTATCACATCAATAACTTTTCATTCTTTTTCAACCACATATTCACCATCACATTATAAAAAAATGCAATATGTCCTGAAAAATGTGCATCAAACACACTCTAAATGAAATGTATAATCAAATAAAGAATAATGATATTCATTCTCACAGGTGATTGGTGCTAGAACATCAGTCTAAGTAATAATTTATATGATATTAAATAATAAATTCATTTAATTAAACTAATAAAGTATAGAATCACTTGGGTTATGTTTTGACTACAATAATAATCGCTTGAAAGTGAATTCTCTCTAGATACATCTATTCAATTCTTTAAATTTGCATAGAAAGAATATAAGCTATAGGCAATTGCATGAAAATTATTAATTAAATGTGTTTGATTGATTTAATGTTCAAAGTAGAAAATGTTATACTTGTAGATGAGATAGAGAAAGAGAGACTGAATTGCCTTAAAAATAAAAATTTACCACTCTCTAAATAAAATGTTTTCCTTGTTTTCGAGCAAAATCTGGTTACGTTACCAAGTTTTGAAAAGAAATATCAATCACACACATCAAAAGTATGAACTTTAGTGAAAAATAACATTTTTCATGAAAAATAAAGCCAATTAAACACACCATTAATGTCACCCACCAATCTAGGTATAAACAAAACATGAACCACCAAATTAACCCTAAAAGATTTTGGATATAATATATAATATATTAAATATCACATTGGTGAGAATAATTTTTTGGACAATTTTGATTCTACTACAATTCAATTATTTCAATTATATCTTACTTTTTGTTTTTCGGTGTGTAATAAATACTATAAAATCCTTGTCATGTGTGAATTTCGTGTTTTGAATTCTAGATTTAATTAACATTTACATTTATCTAGATTCAATAAATATCGACTTGATAAATCTTGTTCTAATGAATCTACTTTTATTTCTATTCATCTGTAGTATTTCATCATAACAAAAAAATTGAAGTATAGAAGTCGAGTTTTGAGAGTACAATTTTCTTCTTCTAAATTTTATTTTCTTTGATTTGTTTGAAACTCATCAAATTCTCTCAACAAATTAGTA